AACAGGAAACTCCTACAGGGCAGGGCCCAGCTTTGCTGACCTTGTCCAATAAACAGGAGAGTGACCAGCACCACACACAAGGCATTCTCCACCTCCCTCTGCTGCTATAAATGCCCAGACAGAAAGCCAGAAGGCCAGCACCACCTAGGGAAGGGCACTGAGGATGGTGGTGCCAGACGCCCCTTCTGCAAGCTAGACTCACCAGCTCTGTCTACCTCTAGTGTCAGAAAGGGGGTCAGTGGTTGCCATTCCAGGAAACAGAAGCAAGCTGCAAATCAGCAGCTTGAGCAGGACCTGTTTCTTGTGAAAATCAGCACACAGTAGAAATGGCCGAGGAAGGCTTTACTTCTCTCCTTTTCCACTGCTGAAGATGCAGACCGGGAGAGGCTCATAAAAATCCAAAAAGTAAAGAAACATACAAGCCCATGCCATACTTTAGTTACTACAAAAAAAGCCCTAAGATAACTATTTCTCTTAAAGTTCAGGCTGGGAGGCTGGGGCCTTCCTTCAGGAAACACTGAGGTGGGCATGGAGGCAGGGAGGCTCAGTCAAGAACTAAGGACCTGGCCCAGGACTGCAGGCTCTTGTTCCGAGTCTAGGTCCTTGCCTTCCTCCCAGCGGCTTTGGGCATGCTGCTTCCTCACTCAAGGCTGCCTCCACATCTGTAAAGAGGGGGCAATGGCCACTGTCCAGGCGTCTGCAAATGATCACATGTAATCCCTGGCATGGATGGGATCTGCAAATTGCCCAGCAGTTCCTGCCCACATAGCTATGGCCAGGGATGACTTTTTGGGGACACACATTCTGCTAAGGGTCTTCTCAATGTCAGCACAGCTAACCCTCGAAACTTTCTAAAGGAATTAGGCATTAAGCTTATCCTCTTTTAAAAAGATGAGAAAACTGAGGCTCAGAGAGGTTCAATGACAGCCCCAGCCACTCGGCAGCTGAGAGTCAAGCCCAGGTCTGACTACAGGTCAGATCCTCACAGGCTCCTGCCTTGAGAACTCTTTTCCAAAGCATAGGCCAAGCAACACCAGGCCCTGTGGACATCTATGTGATCAAGTAAGAGTAGGGCTGGTAGGCTGCTGTCAGGGGCAAAGTACTTTTCTCGCATATGTGAAGCCCTGGGTTCCATCCCCAGTTCCCAAAAAGACAAGACAAAAAAAAAAAAAAAAAAAAAAAAAGACCCCAACCAAAAAAATCAAGTAGGAAACCCACATTGCTGGCTCTGTCTCAGACTCATTCTGCTTAGCTCAATAAAGTCAAGGCTGTGAGAAGTTCCACAACAAGCACAACAAGTCCTTGTTTCTCAGAATTATCTAACCACTGAGACCAAAGAGCCTGGTGTTCCAGGGAATACACCTTGGGAAATATGTCATGTGGCAGCAATGTCAGCAACCACACTGATAAGATGGGGGTGGGGGGAGCAGAGGGTCAGCACACTGGCATTCACAGAGCACAGCAACCAGACACTGCTGAGCTGGCTACTGGGGCAGGAGGAGGGACAGCAGACAATTCTGTCTTCTGCCACCTCTGTCTGGGAATCCCCGGGCCTATAGTGAGGAACCCAAAGGACCATGGAGACGGAGATGCTGCCCTCTGCTCTGGGCTGGGACAGGCAGCTGAGGGAGACTGCCGCGGGCCTTACCCCAAGACTCCTCTGCTATCTGCGCTTCGGCTGGCGGCGCTGAGGCTGGCTCACGTGTGCCTGGGCGGGGTCCTGGCATTCCTCTCGCTCCATGGACGCTGCCTCCCTAGGAGGAAGCGAGAGCTGCTGTGAGCAGGCGTTTGGTCACTATCAGAGCTACCTGCCAATCTGCCAACGTTTCTGGAGAGCCAGGTAGTGCCAAGGTCTGGGCTGGGCTCCGGGGAAGACAGGAACTACCTAGACATGGCGTCTCAGGCACACAACTAGGTCGTCTAAGAAGATGCCAAGTTARCAACACCTAGAAGGCCCAGGGCTCTGCTGGGGAGAATCCAGGAGATACACGACACCAGCTAGAGGAGTAGGGTCAGGGGAGGCTTTGTGGAGGACTGCTGGGGAGAGGCTGAGATGGGAGGGGTGGGAAAGGAGCACTCAGGGCAAGAGTCACACCACASGCCTGACTGCAGGAGAGAAGAGGTGCCATCTACAAAATGCTAGATGCTCCTCCCTACCTAGCTCTATCTTCTGGGGAAGTGTTGAGACAAGAAATACAAGTGGGTAAGATGGGCCAGCAGACTCCAACTCAAACAGAAAGCACAAACATCATCCATCATTCAGACTGCACAGTGCCATCGACCACACACCCAGCACTCTGCTCAGAACTGTTCACAAGTGAACAAGACAGGGTGAAAAGAAGCAGGAAGAAGTGTGRGCACTACTCTAGGCCCAGGGGGTAGCAATGAGGAGGCAGGAACTGGGCATGTGGCCAAAGCATGAGCATGYGTTAGTTCGGGAGCTGAGGAAAGACTCAGGACCTGAAGGCACTAAGGAGGCACTGTGGAACAGTTCAATAGCTTGTGCCAACAAAAATTTGTCACACCTTCTTGGTTCCAGGTGATGTTCTGGGAGTACAGAGGCAAAGGGGGCATCAAACTTCACCTCAAGCAAGATCTAACACTGTGAAGTTTGAGTCACAGCCACAGGGAGAAGCAACAATCCAGTAAGGCCACAGAGGTAACCTTAGCCATCCAGCCATCAAGAGCCACCAAGACACAGAGGCCATCCAGGCCCCTCTGCCAGTCCCACACTCCTCAGCAAGGATGGGGACATGGCTGACAGTGGGAAGGAGAGTCACTTGCCTATGGCAAAGCTGGTACAAGAACCTGGGCCTCTGGACTACCTGATTCTTCTAGTCCCTCCTACCAGGAAGCATTCCCTGACCATCCTGCATCTTCACTCAGCCAACTCCTCCTTCCCTGTGCTCCTTGGTGATATTTCCACTATAATATTGGCCAGTGTCTCCCTGTCTGTCTCCTCCCAGACTGCAGCTCTGAGGAGGCAGGGACCATATTTTCCTAAGGCCAGTTCCGGATAAACGACAGAATGAGTCAGGGATGGAAGGGTAGGATGTGGGGTTCCACGTCCATTCCACTTGAGTCCCCATCAATCTGTCAGGCTGTGCCTCAGTGTCCCCAGGTGAAAAGCAAGACCTACCTCCATTGTCAGGACAGGGATTCAAGAACCAGGCTGATTCTCTCCTTCCAGTTCCTACAGGTGAGGCCCAGACCACAGCAGGCAGCAAACCAAGCCCCTGCCACCTCCCTGAGAGTCCTGACTCACTGGGACATTCCTCAGGCGCCCCAACTGTCCAGAAAGGCTACTCAGTGTTTGCAAAGGAAACTTCTTCCCAGTGGACATGCCCAAGGCACAGAGGGCAAACCCCATCTGCTGAGTCCCAAGAAGAAGTAACAAACACTACCTGTGCCCCTGCTCTGTGCACTAAGGTGCCAGGAAGAAAGAGGCTCAGCAGACTCCATCCCAAGCAAGGTCTAAGATAGGGAAGCAGGCTGCTCAGACTCAGTAGAAGCATCTCTACAATAGCAGGTCCCCCAGCACAGGTCAGCTATCCTTGCCTCCTTGGGCAGCCTCAGAAAGGGGACCTTCATGGAGGCTACACCCGTGTGACCCAGTCACTGGCCCTGCCCAGAGCCTTGGAACACATGCCCACTCCCCCACCCCCAGCCTCTACACGGGAGTATCACCAATGGCCCACCTCCTGTCCCTTCCAACAGTGTTCACTGCCAGGGGCTAAAGGTACTACTCATAGAAAGGACAGAAGAGGTCCAGGGAACCTTCATCTCTCCAAACCCCTCCTCCACGACTTAGCCCCCAGTTCCCTCCTCCTCACCAAGCTCTCTCCCTGCTCTCCTGTCCTCAAAAGGCACCCCCAGGTTGGGCARGGGAAGAAGTGCCAGGAGAAGCTTGGCTCACCAGACCCACCCTGTGCTGACAGCCCAGTCCCCTTCAGGAAGAGGCTGCCACACAACCCCCAACCCATGACTCCTTCCCAAAAAAGGCAATAAGTGCCTCAACCCAGGACCAGCTGGGTCTTGGTTCACTCCTGCCGGGAACCAAGGGCAAGGGCCGGCCAACACCGTAGCAGACTCACCAAGAACCCACAACCCCAAGCCGTGCTCCCTCTCCCAGGACCATCAGCGCTGCGTCTCTGCCCACCTAGACCCTGGCCAGGCCCCGGCCTCACTAGACGTGGCTCTTCCGACCCGCTGGATGCACCGGGCAGGACAGGGGCCGGGGTCTCCTGGGAACCCCAGCCCACACCGGTACCAAAAACCCAGCCAGGAGTCCTGCCCCCAGGTCAGGGCACTGTCCCCGCATGACCAGGAGCAGCGAGCGTCCGAGGGGAGAGGACGCGCCACGAACCCAGCCCAGGACAGCTGCGGGAAGGGGAGCGTGTGCGCAGAGGGCATCGGGGACCGGGGATGACACGGGGACCTGGGGAGCCGGCGGAAACTCTGGGTAAGAGCGCGCAGCGGGCTCGGGGTGCTGGCAGGGGGCTCGCGCGCCGCGGCTCCAGCGAGAGGGTGGGGCCCTGCGTCCCGGGACCTGGACCTCGCAGAGAGGCCCAACCAAGCGGCCGCGGGACGCGGGGTAGACGACCCGGAGGGCAGAGCCCCAGCTGCCCCGAGGGAGGGGGCGGGCGGGGGCGCGTGAGAGTGGGCGTCCCAGGTGACAGCTCTCGCCCCCGACCCCACGCGACCCACTCACCTGGGCTCGGCGCGCCCGACCCCGCAGCAGGCCACCCCCGCCCTCGCYGTCCAATCCCGCCGCCGGCCGCCGCGATCCTCCGGCGCCTCCTTTTGTTTGTCCCTCACTGCACCACTCAGTCTCCTCCGCCCCGGAAATGACGTCACCGCCAGGCGCGAACGCCGCGCTCAGGGTATCGCCATGTTTATGAAGGAGCTGGGCCTCACACTCCTCTCGATACCGCGCATGCGCCAAGTTGCTTGCGGGTGTAAGTAGCGGTTCGGGCTCCGCCTACTTAAAGGGACAGGAACTGTTGCAACCTCTGGGATGAGCTGAGAGACTAACGGTGAAGTACTGAAACGGAGGTGAGTAGCCTGTTCTCAGCTAGAGTGACTCGAGGTCGGCGGCGAGTTGGGGAATACTTATTAAGGAATCCGAGCTTGATAGTGCCAGAGCGCTTGATGCGTTGTTCCCGGGGTATGCGGAGTGGCTGCCACCAAAGATTGAGGTGCGAGTGGGAACGATTTGTGCGCGCTGTCCGCAGATGCTCGCTCCGCCACTGGAACCAGTCAGAACAGTTACCTCTGCACATTCATCCCCGATCCACCACGTCCTGGCGGGGAACCTGAGTCCCGAGGTTAACAGCGAATTCTGGGTAGAGCTGGAGCTCGAGCCTGGTCCTCGGATGCTCCTAGGTCCTCACATGTTCAGGTTGCCAATAAGGCAAAAGAGTTAAAAAATAATCCATACGCTAGAAAACTGTGCAACCATTAAACGAAAAATAGTTTAATATGCACTACTTTGGAACAACTTCCCAGATACAGTAGGTTAAAAAGGAAGGAGCAGTAAGAATATCCTTGAGTGCTTCCTACCCTTTATGGTTTGTAGGTTTGTTGGTGTCTGCGGGTGTGCSCAGCACCTGTCTGATAAGATGCAGAAGTAGTAGACAACTTGTTACCTCGCACAGGAGAACTGGGGCCCTGATTGCATCCCACCTTGTGTGCATGTGGTTGTGAGATGTCCAAGTTGTTAACTGGTTGCCTCACACAGAACAGGGTCCTGGGTACCTCTGCAAGGGGGAAGCACTTACTACCTTTTGCACAAATTGATTATCCAAAATGAAGTGCTGAGGTCCCCTGTGGAGCCAAGGCCTTGTTTCAGCTCTCTTGCTGGGAGGTCTTGTTTTCCCCTTTTAATACAGGAGGAAAGGGCCCCAGGGAGGGAAGGGAATTTAGCAACCTCAGCCAGGAAGCAGAGAGGCTGGGTTGGAGCACAGGAAGATTTTACTGTAGTGCCAGTCTGTGATCCCTCTGGTCCTGCTCCCTACTGGGAAGCTGCTTTGCTGTCAGTCATGTGACACCCTGTGGGGCTGGCTCAGGAAGGACATCCAGTAGCTTCTTATTGCCACAAAAGTGGAGCACACGGAGAGACAACCTGGGATAGAGAGGACAGAAGCAAAAGTTGATGGCCAGAGCCTAGGATGAAGTCCGAGGCTCGCTGCCCCTTTCCAATCTTGAGACTGTGCACCTGACACCTCCTCTCTGGGCCTCCATGCCCCCACCTGTACAACAAAAAAAACAGAACTACTATAGCAGACCCTGAATGACACCCCCCAAATCATTCCTTGTCCTTTCACCATATCAGTCCCATTTAACAGAAGGATACTTGAGGCACAGAGAGGTTGAAAACTTGCCCAAAGAAGGTTCCCACAAGACCTCACTCCCTCTTCCCCAGGAGAGGATGTTGGATTCCTTGGTAGCTCCCTCAGCTTCCTGGGATCATCAGCAGGAATGCCTGGGATTACTGTAAAGGGACTTTGAAACTGTTTTTGTTAAAATCAGTGACTTGAATTTGGTACTGTAGACGCAAGATAGGTAACTAAAGGCAAGAGAAAAGCTTGGCATTTCTGCCCTCACTTTGCATCTCTCTCCTTTGCTGCCTAATCTTTGGGTCAGATTCCTGCTCAACTCTGCACATAGACAAGTTGCTCGTCTAACTCTGTTATTCCTTCCCCTTTGAGACTTGAAGGCACCCAGATAAGAATAATTAAGTAAGAATTTTTCAAGATTTGCAAGAACATTAGAATCAACAGATTGCCTGGTGCCAGCTTTTGCAACATCCTTTTCCAGACCCCCAGAGCCATGCCTAGGAAGTTCCAGTCATTTCTATAAACTTGGGAGAACTGCATCATTCTCTCCCACAGTCAACTTGGATTCTAGGAACAAGAGTTGAAACTACCCCAAGCAGCAGCCACTTTCTTATGGCAGATCATGATCAATCAATGTATAGTCTGACCAAGACTGGGTGACTACACATGCTTCTCCCCCGCCCTTCTGATCTTCTGGCTTTTCCCTTATTTAACCCAAAAGCCCTTGTTTGCTCCCCAAAACTGGACTGAGAATCAGTCCTCCTGGTACTTCCCAATTCCCTTCCTGTGTCACTGTTACTTTTGCTGATTGACTTTTGGGGTGAGTGGCCACACTTGGTCTATTGGGACTTCCCACCTGACCTAGGACTGGTAACACTCCTGAGAGCTAGGTGAGCTGCCAGAGGCTGAGAGTCTGTGGAGAACAGGACATGCACACAGTTTCTGTCCTGTGAGTTTAGCAAGGGCAACAACCTAACTACTGGCCTGTGTTCAGGGCCCTAGAGGCAGAGGGGAAGGCCAACCAGGCTGGAGTCAGACAGGGCTCCTCCTAGGAGGTAACATTTAACCTATAGCAGAGAAGTAGGTGAAATGTCTGGAAGGGGTAATGATGACGCTGGAAGCTGATGCTGGCTTATTCCCTGCCCCTTCTGGGTCTTCTGCCAGCGTTGTCCTTTCCCCCTGGACAGTGACTGCAGTAGGTGCTTCTGTAGCTGCGCACCCTCAGCTCCAAAGGGTCTGGCTCCTGATTTTCTAATGCTAGTGGTAGTGATGAATAATCACAGCAGAGTTCAAGCACTGAAGAAGTTCTGAGCATTGACTTGTCATGCTCTACCTGTGAGCCACACCCCCATCCCTTTTTTCATTCTTCTGAATTTCCATGTACTACTTTTGCTCACTTTTTCTCTATTGAGTTTTTGGTCTTTTATTATTGATTTGTAGGAATCTTTTATATGATAAGGCTCACACTCTATTAAAATGGCCCAGTTACTTGTCTGTTTCCCTCATTAGATTGTGCAGTGCTTGAGGAAAGCACTCTTTTCATGGTTGTTAGCATAGGGAGTAGCACAGTGGCAGGCTCTGCACCAGTTGTTGAGAATAAAAAGCTTAATACAGGGCTGGGGATGTGGYTCAAGCGGTAGCGCGCTCGCCTGGCATGTGTGTGCCCCGGGTTCGATCCTCAGCACCACATACMAACAAAGATGTTGTGTCCGCCGAAAACTAAAAAATAAATATTAAAAAAATTCTCTCTCTCTCTCTTTAAAACAAACAAACAAAAAAATTTGATACAATTCAGTTGTTGTAACGGAGGTCTCTGTTGGGGGTAGGAGATAAACATTCATTCTGTCTTTCAAAGATGTATTGAGCCAACTACTGGGGAGGCTGAGACAGGAGAATTGTAAATTTAAGGCCAACCTGGACCACTTAGCATGACCCTGTCCCAAAATTAAAAARTAATAATAATAAGGGCTGGGGATGTAGCTCAGTATAGAGGACCCTTGGTTCAATCCCCAGTTTAAAAAAAAAAAAAGTGTTTTGAGCAGCCATGCTGTGCTAGGTGCACGAAGCCCACTGGAAGAATGAATGTGTAAAGATGACAAAAATGGCAGGAGTGTTCATAGATACCTGGACATGAACTTGCTTGGTCATATGGTTGCCATTCATTGAAAAGCCTATCTTTTCCCCACTAACTTGTCTGGGATTCCTTGTCTAATAGCAGTTGACCAAAAATGTGAAATTTATTTCTGGATTGTCAATTCTCTGCCATTAATCTGTATATCTGTCCTTAAAAAAGTCCCATAAGGGGCCTGGGCTTGTCTGGCATGCCAAGGTCCTGGGTTCAATCCCCAGCACCACAAAATAATAAATAAATAAATAAAGTTAACAACTACAAAAATATTTTTTAAAAAGTCCCATCAGGCTGGCATGGTGTCACATGCCTGTAATTCCAGTGGCTAGAGTGGCTGAGACAAGAGGATGGCGAGTTCAAAGTCAGCCTCAGCAATGGCGAGGCGCTGAGCAACTCAGTGAGACCCTGCCTCTAATAAAATATAAAATAGGGCTGGGGATGTGGCTCAGTGGTTGAGTGCCCCTGAGTTCAATCCCTGGTAACCCCCCCAAAAAAGTCCTATCATTTTGTGGTTCTATAGCTTTGAAATTTGAAATTGTACAGTGTGACTCCTACAACTTTTTCTTCTTTCTCAGGAATTGATTTTTTTTTTTCTTTTTTCTTTTTTTGGAGTGTGTATTGAACCCAGGGGTGCTTAACCACTGAGCCACATCGCCAGCCCTTTTTATTTATTTTTTTAAAATTGGCCAACAGCTTTATTTTGTTTATTTAGTGTGGGGAGCCACTCTGAATGATTCAGGCCTTCCATCCTGAAGGGAGAGGCTTTGACCGACCGATCACTGAATTTCATAGTGACCTGGACGTTGTCCTGGTTCAGGAAGTTAAGGGCATGCCTTCAACGTAGGCATGTCGCCCCTTGGGTTGAATTACACTCACTGCCCCTTGTAACTCTGCCCCTTCTGACCCTTTTTTGGATGAAACTTCCTAAGAATAAAGGTTCCCCCAATAAGAGCCCACTTCCAAACGTGCTTGCTCTCTCTCACCAGCCTCTCGTGCTTTCTCTTGCTCCCCCATTTGGGGAGCCTGAGTCTGAGAGCGGAGAAGCCATCCTGAAGCTTTTTTAAAGGTAAAGTGTGTCTGTGTTTAATTTGGTATCCCTGGAAATTCACATGAGCGACCTTAAGTTCAGCTGCCTGCGCAGATCGTCGGCAGCAGGTGGTGCCTGAACAGGGACTGCTCAAGGTGAATTTCCAGGTTGACTGAGAGAGCGTGTTATAGGAATTTAGTGAACCGTGTTTTTTTTTTTTTTTTTTTTTTTTTTTTTTCAGGGGAGGTGGTGGTCACAGAGGAAGCAGATAGTTTCAGAGCCAGGGACATTAAACAATTATTATGGGCAGTTCCATGTCTTCAGATAAAGAAATTATTTAATAATTCTGGAGACAATAATCAACCGGAGAGGAAAACAAGTTAGGAGGTCCCAGCTGACTCCGTTCCTGGAAACGGTCAGTGACATATACCCATGGTTTTGTCAGCAAGATTTGCCAGATTTGCATACTTGGGAGAGGCTAAGTAGAAAATTATATARATTCTGCCCCTCTGCCAAGCCGTCTAAAAGTACAATAGAGAATGTTCAGAAGCTCTGGTCCTCT